CGGGACAGCCACCCCCTCACAGATTCGGGCTTAAAAAGCCGGGGTTTGAGGACACCGATACACCCCCGAATCCCTGTCCAGATCCAATCGGCCTCTCCCAGGATCGGGCCCCCTCTCCCCCGGAGCGAGGCCCCCGTGGCTACTCCTCATCGACTCCGGTGTCTCCCGTGGGGGGGGGGCTAATCCCAGCCCCGCATGGAGCACCCCGAAACCCCTTGATGCTGCCTCTCGCCCCGTCTGTCCGCGTCTTGCCCCGAGGTAACTAGCTGGGGGCGGGGGCCGGGACTGGAAGGGTCTATGAGCTGCCCCTGCTCCAGGATCTCGCCGTCCGCCTGCAGCCTGATGGAGGGGAGTCGGGGGCACCGCTGGCCAGATGTTTGTCATTAGCTGCCGCCTCTCGCTGCCCGCGGGGAGGGGGAGGCGCTGGTGGGGGCGGGGGTCGGAACAGCCTGACGGGCCCCGATCCCGGTCTGGGGGCCCCGCTGCTGAAAACCCTTCTTGTCCTCCCAGCCCCGTCTGCAGCTGTCCCAGGCCACAAGCACACGCGCTCAGCTGGTCCCTGCCCCGGGTCTGGGTCTCCCCCAGGCAGGCCCCCGACCCCCTCACACGGGCGGGGATGCAGCCACCTCTGGGGTGTATACGGCAGCCAAGGAGGAGGCAGGTCAGGGGCCCTGAGACTCTGGGGGGCCGAGGAGGTAAAGCCCAGCGAGGCAGCATGAGCCAATTAGGCGGTGATTAGCCGTGAGCCCATTAGCGGGGTGCTTCTCCAGCCTGGGGCCGTCACGAGTCTGTAATGACCCGGGCCGGGGGCCACACGCGGCGCTGGGCGCGGCCGAGATGTGGGGCTGGGTCGTGATCCGCCCGGCCCGGCCCTGGGGGTGCTGGGGGTTACAGCCCACCCCCGGGCTGAGATACAACCGCTTCTTGGGGGCGCAAGGGGAGGGGTACAGGCCCCCAGTAGTGCGGGTGTAGCTGGCTCTGGGGTGGGGGCCAGAGGAGAGCAGAGCCACGGGCGGGGCAGCGGGGGGGACCAGGCTCCGGCTGCCGGCCCCACCCCGGAGCCAGCGCATCGTGGCCGTAACCCGAGCTGGGCCGGACCCGCCCGGGCGCAGCGGCTGGGCCCAGCTCGGCCTAATTGGTTCCATGTGGCTCCCAGCTTGGGGGGGGGGTTAAAGGAGCCGCGCTGCCCGGGGAAGGGGCCCCCGTAAGGGCTGGGAGAAAACCCAGGAGTCCGGCCTCTCAGCCCCCCCTGCTGTCACTCCTCAGCCCCCTCCAGAAAACCTAGGCGTCCGGGCTCCCTTCTGCTCTGACCCACTGGCTCCTGCTCTGCTGCCACATCTGGGGAGGGAACTCAGGCGCCTGGGCCAGACCGAGGGGGGCTCCATGCCCGGCTCTGACCCGCTCCCCACCGCAGCTAATGCCATTAGCCCCGGATGCTTCCCAGCGGATGCCGGATTAGCCGGGGCGGGGGATTAGCGGAGCCGCCCTGGATCGGAGCGGGGGCCCGGGCGTCTGGGTTCTCTGGGGGGACGGGGAGCTCAGACGACTGGGTTTTTTCTCTGTCTTCTCCCTGTACGGCCCTTTCTCCCCCGCCTGGCCCCGTGCCTCAGTTTTCCCGGGACCTCGGAGCCGGTTCCCTCGCGGC